GTATACCAAGGTGTTGGAGAGTGATAAAAAGGAAGAGATGATGAGAACTAGTTACCAGAATGAAAGGGAGAGAGGCTCACATGCAGGTGTACTAGTATCATGGAGACACTGATGCGATGGACGAGGCTCATTTCAGAGGGATGGGAGACATTTAAACACTCTATCATCAACCTCCCACTTCCTCAAGTGCAGTACCCCTGCCCCCCCCCCCCCCCCCCCCACAAAAAAAAAAACAAAAACACACACACACACCACACACAAACGTTACACATATAATTGTGTAAGTATACAAAATTCCATATTATTTGCCTTCTTTTTGAGTTGATAGACCCGCCACGTAGCAATCTTTTTCGTCATCTATATATTTTCTCTCTTTTCATCATCTATATATTTCCCTTTGTATCTCCTTTAATACATTGTTTTTTCAATGTCCTTCCTCACAAATCATTTATCAGACATTCAAGTAGAACCCACTATATACAAATCGATCTCTCTCTCTCTCCTACATGGTAAATGGTCTGTCAAGAAGGGAATTAGAGAGAAAATGTATTGGAGAGATCTAAATCCAAGTACATGCATGCATAAATCCACATATACAAGTACATCATATGGTATCTCTATGCTCTATTAATACAGAATTTGGAGAAGGGTAGTTTAGTTACAATTTTACAAGTTAACATGACCAAATAGCTTTAGGATTTACTCTGACAACAGGATACTCAAAAAAGAAAGAAAACTTGAAATAAAAACTAAAAAGGAAATTGTTTCAAATTATGGCTCATACTTATCAGAACCAGATTAAAAAATAAAATTTCATTTCATAACTCAAAATAAGAAATACAAATCTGCAGCAGTTTGATCTCATCCAACAGGCTGAAGGGAAAAAAAAAAAGAATGGAAGTTGGCTTTCATCCGTTAAAACACTAAAACCTAAAATACATAGCAAATGGTTTCAGCAATGCAGCAACAGAAGGGACAACTACCAAAAAAGAGTTTATGAGAAGATAAATGAATTTCTAAAGTTTCAAGGAATAAGTGGACAAAAAGCTTTATTGTTGCAGCTATGTCCATTATACAAAATTGTTTAGAATAACTTCCTGTGACAAATATGGGAAGCACGTCACTGAGAGAGAAGCCATGACACCGTTTCATCCTTCTAAATTTGATATCAGTCTTTTATCGCGGCATGCTGAGACCTAGTTCTGAAAAGAGTAGAATGACGATACATTAGAGTCAAGGTGAGTGAACAAAGATTGTACCGGAAAGGAATTTCAGTAAAAGAATTGTTAAAAAATTAGCAGCGGACATTTAAACAAGTAAATAAGTACATCGATAGGAGTGACCTAGAAATATAGCAACAGCACTTCAATATTCTCCAGACCAAATAAGGGAGTTTAGGTGTTACCAACCTCTCTTCTAAAGTCCCTCTTTGAACAAGACCAAAGGAATAGATTTGTATAAGCACATATCTAGATAGCCAGTGAATTATTTCCAAATGTGTGAGGATATATCAACCCTAAGCTGGAGTACATTAACTGAGCCATGTATGGATGCAGTTACAATTTTTAGAATTATAATTTTGCATCAAACTCATTTTTGGTCTACCCTAGATCTCCAAAGTAAGTTAAATATATTCAAAAGTTCTAATTGGCAAAATTATGCTAATTTTTTCTTGCCCTCACAGAAATCTAACTGACAGAATCACTTTTTTTCGGTTGAAGTGGATTCTACATGAAGAATTGTGACTACATATAAACACGAATGGGGGACAGGAAGGTTAACGATAGCTTTTCAAGCAGGTGCAGAAAAATAAATATATGATTTTTCACGCTCAAAGCCTTGAAGGACCAGTAATCAGATCAATCATCCCACTAAATACCTGAAATTATCTTCAATGAGAGAGCTCTAGAAGTGTTATTTGAAAAACTAAAAGGATTAGGTTGAACTCACTCTCTGCACAGCTAACAATTTTTTTGAAGATCTCCCTAATATCTCTCAATAATTTTATTTACCTCATAATCATTTCAGGGTTCAGGATTGCAGATCAATAATTCCTCAATGTAAGAGAAAAAGTAAAAAACCGTAAGGAGCAAAAAAAATATCAAGAAAAGAAAGGAAAGAGGGCCAGACCACAGCAAACCCATACACACTTAATCAATGGAGAACTGGAGTTCTAACCTCATGAGATACTCAGAATGTATATTCCCAAATCCTTAGAAACATTAAATTGCATACCAGACAATGCTCCCAGATATGGGCAGCACCATGGCATGTCATACCAAAGGAGCTTGTGTCATGTAATCAGTTATCACGGTTCAAAGTCGTGCTATTGACCATCGACTCGGAGGGTACTAAGAAACATCATTGCCACATCATCACAGAAATGAATCGACCGATACACACAAAATGCTAGATAGAATGCCCGAACAATTTTAAAAAGATCATGAAATTTTTAAAAATGAAAAACAAAATCCATGCACCATATGCACAACATACATCATCTAGCACATTAAACATAGTGGAAATGCAATGCAAGTCTGCTACTAGAATTTGAAAAATACAAAATGCATGATACTTTGAAAGAGTTAATTTTGAAAGACTATTTAATCAAGCAAGAAACATGGGTTGCAAGTTGAATTTTGGTTATCATTAAATCAAAACAACAAAGGGGTGGCGAGATCAATCGGATAGGCTTTTTGGAGTAAAAATGAGGAAGAGAGTTATTGCCTTTTGGAATGCCTACAAGGAAACCATGAATGAAATAGAAAATGGAAACAGGTTAGAAGTACTAAGAACAAGAAGTAGGAACTGGTCACAGAAATGAAAGGCAAAAGGGTATGTGTTGTGAACGGTGCAGTGCACTAAACAATCAAGAAAGAAAATAATCAAGAACAAGAACATGAGATTTACGTGGTTCGGTAGAATTTTACCCACAAAAAGGGAGCTGCTTTTCACTATGTATCAGAATCTCTTAGAGTTACAACATACAGATGAGCACTAATTAATAACTCTAATTCTGGGCCAACTAGAAAACTAGTAAATCTGATACATCCAATCCTAGTAAAACTCATCTACCATATATACATTGAAAATCCCCAATATACCCATACCCTGGCACATTGACTTCTAGGCCTGATAAATATGAGCCACCAACATATCACAAGAACCACACATTGTCCTTGCATTACAAATTGTCTCAGTTTAGCAATACAAAGTTTCTCTAAAGGCCTAAGGAGCATGGAAAACCATAACACGTCATCCTTTCAAGTTCTGCACTTTAAAGTTATAACATTTAATAGATTTTGAGGCTATTCTGGAGTAATTATCCTGATAGTATCCAAGTGTCAGAAAACTAAACCATACAAGTTTCCAAGTAGAAGAATTCTAAGGGAATGCTTTTTCATGTTTAATGAAACGTTTTGTTGACGATCAAAAAACAAAAACAAAATTGTAGGGAAAATATTTTTTTGTTGAGATGGACAATAAATGACATAATAGTTAACACTGTTTCAGTTAGGCCTATCCAAGTCCAAAACGACACAATTAACCAAGACACATTAAGCGGGTTTGGATGAGACCTTAATGGGTTCGGGTGGTAAACAGGTTGACTTGTCAGACACGTTTAATAAACGAGTCATATTTAGGTGAGACCTGTCAATCCATTTATTACCCATTTAAATAAAATTAATATAATAACAAATTAATAATTATTTTAAAAAATTTAGCCAATTTTTTTTTTTAGTGACAGCCACATAAAATATATAAGCCATCTTTCCGTAATTTCAATCCCTAATTCTCTCTACTCTTGACTTGAGCCTTTGACATTGTGCCTCCAACATGGTGGCTGACTGAAGCTTATCCTTCTCCTCCCTCTCTCTCTCGCATAAATTAGCTCGACAGTGACTCAGCGTGCAGCTGGAGTCTTGGGCCAGGTTCTCTCTCTCAGTGTTATTTAAGGCGTAAAGCGAACCGAAGCGACCAAAACTCCTAACGCCTAGGCGAGAAGCGAGAAGTGAAGCGACACGCTTTACCGAAGCAAAGCGAACAGTTAAAAAAAAAATATATTTTAGTTTAATTACTTCTAAACAATCTAAATTCTAATCTTATATATACTAAATATTTAAATGCAAGTAAAACCATAAACATTTAAATTAAAACAAACACTAATAATATCTCAAATCTTAATAACAGTTATAACTTAAACATTTAAATTCAAACAAATACTAACAATTGTATACATTTTCATATTGACATGCTAGAGGTAGGACAACAAAAGAAGCAGAATCAGGACAACAGCAGAATTAGCAACAAAAAAAAAAGAAGCAGAATGAGGATAAAAAAAAAACAAAAGCAACATAGGACAGGAAGTAAAACCGAAGCAGCAACAGAATCAACAAAAAAAAATAGAAGCAGAATGAGCTAAAAAAAAAAACAGAAGCACAATGATCATGACAGGAGCAGAATCAATTGTAAACAATTTCATATGTAATTATATACTAAATAAAAAAAAGCAGAACAGAAGCACATTTCACATGTACTAAAATAATTAAACATGGTATAAGCATAGACCACTTTTTGGTACCATTTGTATATATATAAGCAAAGGGAAAAGTATAACCAAGACATATCAGAGACACTTCTTTGTAGAAGAATTTATTATTTATCCCCATTTCTGATACTCCTGCTTCCTTTTTTTATCATAATTGTCATGCAGTGCAGTCGCCTGACTCCCATATCCCACAAATATTCTAAATGAATTCAGCAACACAAGAAAAAAAAAAGAATGTGTTTTGTTCGAAACATTGTTTATTAGAAAAAAAAAATAGACTAGCAATAGTCTAAAAAAAAAGTCATTAATGATTAAAAAATAAAAAAGACTACTAACCTGTAATCAGAAAAAAAAAAAAAAAAAAAAGTGAAGCAGAATCGCTTTTTATAATAAAACGTTCGTTTTTTTCGCTTTTTTCGCTTCTTTCGCTTTTCGCTTTTTCTCGCTTCGCTCACGTTCGCTTCGCCTGGGGTCCTCCAGGCGAAATAAGCTCGCCTCGCCTTGCTTCTCGCCTAGGTGAGCGCCTAGGCAAGCTTTTCAAAACACTGCTCTCTCTCCTCCACTTCAAGCAGGCTGACGACGAAGACTTGGACAAAGTCTTGGGCCAGGTTCTTTCACTTGTTACTTTGGAACCTAACAGTAGATTGAAAAGAAAAAAAAAATGGTTAACAACTGAGCCTCTGAGCCTGAAGCCAACTGAACCTCCAGCAACCTAAAGTTTTGATTTCAAAACCTTTATGGGACACACCAAATACATTTTTTTTTTTTTTGGTACTGGACACACCAAATACTTTTGAATCATTGAATCAAAAGTTTTGATACTACATTTGTGTATGTAATTGTTACACGAGTCTAATGAGTTGGGTTTTAAAAGGGTTATTGTATTAACCTAGTCCTACTCAATTCGATTCGTTTAATTAAACGGGTTAAACGAGTCGTGCCGTGTAACTCGTTTAACAGGTAAAATTTTTCACCCGTTTATTAACCGTGTCGTGTACGGGTTTACCGATTTTCACCCGTCACCCGTTTTACCCGATTCGTAACCGCTTAACCCAACATGTTTGACACCCTTAGTTTCAGTTTTCTTAACTGTAAGGCCCAACTTGAAATGTAGTTTTATTCACCTCTGGAAACTATAACAACAGAGGAAATGTTCTTTTTTTTTTACCCCTGGACACTTTAACGACATTGTCATCTTATTCAGAAGGAAAAGCAAAGTATCAGCACAAACCATCAAGAAATGAAGTAACATGCCAGGGATTCCATAGGTGTGAGGGTTGGGTTAATCTCATATGGCTAGATCACCACTTAAAAGGACTGCCAAAGATTCAATACACAAGACAATCTTGTAAAATACTATCATTACACCTGACAATAATATGATTACAACATCAAGAAATGAAAACCTGTACGCAAGATAATCAGTAAGTCTAACAAAATAAAATCCCAAAGTTTGAGTAAATTACAAACTGGGATGTTCATCAGTGACATAAACAAGATCAAACACCACTTTCAATTGAAATGACCAAGCTTAATCTACAACAATTTAACATATTAGAATCCGAGAATAAACAAGTGATGCAAAAATCTCAAAAAAAAAAAAATAATAATAATAATAATAAATCAAGCCAAAAGCAAAGAAAGAAATAAAAACAAATGTCAAGCCAACTTAAGAGAAACCAACCAATTAATCAAACAAATTTCAAATTAAGTTGATTTGCTTACAGATACAGGAAAAATTTTCAAACTCCTGGGTTGGCACTGCAAAGCATACCCTGAGACAACGACCTCGAGCCCTTGGAGTCGACACCGAGGCACGAGGTGAGCCGAGACGAAGAGACAGCCGAATGAAGTGGGAGCAGAGACTGAAGACAACCCAATTGTGACATTGGCCTGAAAATTCAAAATTCAAAATTCAAAA